GATTGATGTTGTACTCCAGGGAACACAAATATGTCTTAAGAAAACTTTAACGGAAATACATTGTAGAAGGCTCTGTCTTAGACAGTTTTCTGAACTTAGTCAACTTTCATTTACACGATAAACCAAGCTGGCAATCATCAGGGAGTAAAAATGATAACTTTAACATATGCTCCATATACCAGAGGAGGGATTAAAAAATAATTTTAATAAAAGCAATTGATTCAAAGAAGATTCTTAGATCTCATGTCAGGAGGTTCACTGCCTGATGTCTAGCAATGACAGTGTCTGGCCTAATGAAGAGCTCTGTGTTCTTTAGTTATTCCTAAGGACTTCTCTAAATTGTACCAGATCTCTGGATGACCTGGCCTCTTTGATATCACATACTTGTTTTCTAAGTCCTCCTGACATAATTCAGTCCAATTGCAAGTTAGTCATAACTCCTTAATTACATTAGGAAAGCTGGTTTATGCACTTAGTCTTTTGCCTCCGTGAGCAATAGCAAGATAATTAATTAGGTTGATACTTGTTAATATAAGTTATATTAAGTTAGTGGTCCACATAGACGGGCATAGAAGAGGGCTGATTATGTCCCTGAGGCAAAGGGGAAGGAAAGGACCAATGATATCCCTCAACCCAGGGTGTGATGACACATAAGCCACTCTCTAAGTATTTTTGTTGTACAGTCATTTCAGTTGTGTCCGACTCTTTGTGAACCCTTTTTTGAGATTTTCTTGGCAAAGATGCTGTAGTGGTTTGCCATTTCCTTCTCCAGATAATTTTGCAGATAAGGAAACTGAGGCAAACAGGGTTAAGTGACTTGCCCAGGGTCACGTGGCTAGGAAGTATCTGAGGTCAGATTTGACTCATGAAGATGAGTATTCTTGAGGTCAGGTCCGGCATCGTGTCACCTAGCTGCTCCTCTACGTATACCAATGGTATCCTGTTGTGTGGGATGCCACTCAAAAATAAAACAAAACACAGAGGTGTCCAAGGAGAAACAGAAAGTTAATTTATTATAGCTATAATTATTATTTCAAATCTCGAGATTTGGGTGTCCTCACCAATGGCTCTGATGAGAGGAGACAGCCCGCAGAGGTAGAAATCAGTTTATATAACCCTGAAGGCTCAATTCCCCCTTTCTCCCCCAACTGTCTGTTAATTTGGCTTCCAATCTCACACACCAGACTCTAATTTACAATTGTTTTGGAAGGTCTTAGGGATTGAACAGACAATGCTGGGAACTGGAAGACATCTGAGTAAAATCCTGTCAAAGGGAGATAAGGAGAGTAGATAAGAAACTTTTAAGAGTTTTCTGGAGCCAGATTCCTGTAGGGGCAAAGATGCATTTGAATAAGATTAAAAAGTAAATTAAGACTTAACCACTAGACAAATTTTAACTACTGATATGTGTCACTAAATAAAAAATAACTCACAGAAATCTATTCTTAACCCTATCCTACCTTTTGAACTCATTACCTTAATTACACTGAGAAGTCTTCACTGGGACATCCCATTCACTATTAAAAATTTTAGTATACAGTGAGAAAGAATTAGTCGCTAAAGGTCCAACCTATGAGTCAGTAAGCCCTGAGTTCAAGTCAGGTCGATATATACATACTAGAGCCATGATTTTTTGCCCCTGGGCAACTCTGTAAGATTTTTAATTACAGATGAGTTGCTGATGTGCAGAGGGAGTTCCCTACAATAGATGAAATCAACAAGTCTAGATAAATAAATGAAAATTAAGAGAGGATGGAATAAAGCAGCATACTAGAGAGAAAAGCAAAGAATCTTATGTTGGAAGCTTGTCTGGTCCTATCTCCTACCTTGGGGAGCACTGCACTCTACAACATTGTTAAGAGTGTTCCTGTGAATGCTTGGGATTGCATTAAGCAGTACAGCAGACACTGGAATTCTTGAGAATATAACCTGAGGTCCTGCAAAAGGAGAAGTCTTTTGAATATTGTACTCTATCCTACTACAAATAACTAATAAAAATAGAAGGGCAATAGGACAGAATTATATCTAGAGAGAGACAAAGGATGCAAAGAAAGGGAGGTCTCCTTTTATTTTAGACTTGATTTGTCTTATCCTTCAATTAGCATAGCCCTTGCTGTCAAGGAGCTTTGAATTTAAAAAGGAAAAAAAAACCAATAAACAACTCCTGAGGGCCCTACTCCACCAGTGTCATCTCATAAACTACAGAAGGGCACCGAGGAAGCATGGTGAATTGAAAGCTTTGCTGGTAGTTTAGAGGGTGGCTGGTTTGAATTAGAGAAAACATTTCATGATAAGATAGGTCTTGGGTTGAAAATTTGAAAAATCGAGGGAGGAGGGTGGGATGGAGGCAGTAACAGATGGGAAGAAATGTTATTGTTGATGTAATATCTGGGTCTTTAATGGAGTTCTTCAGGGATACTCTGGGGGCTCATGGCAGCTAAGGCAAGAGAGCTGTTGTGCAGGCAGTCAGCCATTCAATAAGCATTTATTGAATGCTTGTGTTGTGCCAGGTGCTGTGCTAAGTTGGGAATACAAATACAAGCAAAAGAAAAAAAAGACAGTCCTTGCCCTCAAGGAGCTTACATCCTACTGGGGAAGAATATACATAAAAAGAAGTTAAAAAGAAGAGAAAGAAGGTACTCAGCACAGGGGTATTGAGTCCTGAGATAAATCAAAGGCATGAGTTGGGGAATAAAGGGTCTTTAATTGAGGTAACAGGGTAGCAAAGCTTCCACTCTAGGGGATGTCTGGTGGATTTTCCAATCAAAAAGATCCATGAAAAAGTTTTTGTAGTTTTAGGAAGAGAGGAGAGAGAAGGTAGGAGGAAGAGGTAACTCGAGGTAGCAAGGTCTGGTCATTAGAGCCCAGTCGCCCCCAGCAATCCAAGCTAGGAGAATCATTTCATTCTGGCTATTTTGCCTTTCATGCCATGAATCCCAGTGGAAAGGCACAAGGACATGAGAGGCCTAGATCCAGCTTGAGCCAGGTTCTCCCACACGGCAAGATTTCAGTATGGGACTTAAGATCTGACTCAGCTCAACCTAATCAAAGCTATCTTACTGGGAATGCTACTGATATTCTGACATTGCTAAGATCATTCAGGGAATGGCAGCTAACATTACATTTGGTATTAACAATTTCTGTATTTATATTAATGATTTTTTTCTGTCAGAAGTATAATGGAAAAAGTCAGGATGAGTGCAGTTCTGTGGGAAATAAAGAGCTGGCTGGCCTCGGTAACCTCCTTAAGTGGAGGTTCTGGGAGGAGACATACAACTAGAGGAATGGCTGCAGAGATTTCTGAGTCATGGTGGAGAAGTCTGGAAGATTGCAGCTTGGTGGGAGAGGAGGGGAACTAAGTTATGTTAGAATTCCAGGAAACATGTCAAAATAAGAGAATAGGTCTGGAAATGCCATCTCTAAGACAATAGTGTTGCGGTATGAGAGGTTGAGAGGTTGTGACCCTCAAAGATTGAAGTGCATGGTCATCTGGAATGAATTCACAGACTCAGGCATTCTTTAAGTCAAGGTGATAAAGTTTATTGTTACACTTTTCAGTGGGCAAGGATTCTTAAAGGATCCTGCAACCTTAGAGAGGTACAGTTAAAGTTTATATAGGATAAAATACAATAAAACATGTGCCAAATATGCTAACTAGGGGATTCAGGGTGGGATTAGAGAGTGGTTAAGGAGTGGGCAGTTCTTAAAAGAACATGCACTTCTTGTACCTACTGAGCAGGCGTTTTACCCAGAGTTAACTAGGAAAAGCCCACAAGGGGGGGCCACATGGAGGTGTGGTTTTAGGCCTGCTACGTCACTAAGTAACTGAGAGTTGTCCAGTCTGCCACCAATCAGTGTCTTGTTTGACAATATAGATGTAGGGAGTATACATATATCTTAAGTCTAGAATATAGTTAATGGGGAGCCCAGGATGTAGACAATGAGGTAGGGTGGTAGTATGGATAGTGGGTAAGAATGTCTTTATGACCTAGTGCAAAGCCAGTTCAAACTAATAATTCCCTCAGATGCTGTTTGGAACTGCACCAGGGAAAGAGATAAGGGTCTTGCAGGGGTCCACTCATGAGTAATTGCTAAGCAGAGTGTCTTCGGGCTTGGGAGAAACTGTCAGGGATAGTGTTTCTGAGGCTAGGGAGAAATTGGGGTCCAAGTACAAGCCACCCAAACATAAGCATGCAAGCACCTCATCAATAGGAGCTATGGAAGGAAGCTGCCAGAGTCATGGAAGTGAATGGAGATGAAATATTTTCAGAATTAGGAGAGATGGAAAGATGAGCACATGGAGGGGGCATACTTATAGTTATAGTTAAGCCCAGGAATCCTGATGGAATCTTTATGATGTTTGATCTAAGCCAAGAAGTTTTAGCAGATTATAGCCTGCCCTATAAGACTTTTACAGAACTTGCTGTGACAAAAACTCTGAACCTTAAGCTTTTATTTTTTTATTTTGATTTCCAGACACCACTCAGTGTACCAGAGACTGGCATAGCCAGGTAGCTGATCAACCTGCTCATTCCAGACTAGCAGCAGATTGACCCATGCACTTAAGATATTATACCCCACAAAGTACAAGGTCAGACAAGCTACCCATCCAGGAAAGATTCTATGCCCCTTGAAGAGCCAATTAAACTTAAGAATGGAATAATATCATTGATGCCACTAATTGCAGCAAACTTTGTGGAGACCTTCCAGAGAAAGGAAGAGCATTGAGTCCTTGGAATTCTGGGATTATGAGTTGCTGGAGCCTTGTGTGTCCCCATGCATGTGTCTTACTGCTATTGTATTTCAAATTTGTGCCCACTCTCCTCTCCACAGACTCCATGTGACAGAAGTAAACCAGTGGGGGCTCATGTGTTAGGAGAATAATCAAATGCATAAGGGTATTTGTAGAACCTTTGGAGTACTTATAGCTATACTATTTAGGACTGTTAAAGGAAGACCCCAGGCCCCAAAAGAGGGACCCTAAATGAAACAGAGTCCAATCACAGATTACAAAGTGTTTATTGTCTGAGAAGAAGAATGTGGCGAGAGAAGCTTGCAAGGGATCAGAGAAGGAGCGAGAGTTCTCAGCTGCTCAAAAGGGAGTGGAAAAAGGGTGAGAAAGTATAGTTTCTAGAGGCTTTCAGGTCAGGAGCAAGGGTTAAGGGAGAAGACATCTGTAGACACAATAAGCCAGGCAGCAGGATGTTTAGAAAGTCCCAAACAAAGTCTCGAGTCTGTATCATCGGCTCAAGGTTGCCCTTGAGCTGATCAAAGCTGACTCTGTGGTTTCTGGAAGCTACAGGCATCTCCAAATTTGGCTAGAGTTCACTCTCAAAGGATCACTAGTATGTCAAACATCTCTGGGCTTCAAAAGTCCTTCTAATTGGCCGGTTGTTGTTTTACTCCAATGTTCCACTCCCCTGTAAAGAAGGGAAGCTTCAACATATCTATAGTCATTACAAAGTTCATGTTGACAAGACCTAATCTACTAGTACCATTGTGGGTTGTAGGAATGACCCCACTGGAGGCAGCGCTGACTGAAATAAAAAATAATTTAGAGAAGTTAAAAATATGACTTGGTAGATGAAAATTAAATATGGAACAAAGTGCACAAACTGACATTTTAAAAAGGAAGTCGTTTAATGAATATATAAGTATGTATTATCTGGAGTCAGAGGGACTTTATATAGATTGTGTATTCTTAAAGTCTCATTTTATAGATGATCTAACAAAGACTCAGAGAGGCAATGTAATATGCTGAAGGTCTCATATGTAGTAAGTCTAAGAGCTTGGATTTGAACCAATGTCCTCTGACTTTAGTACTCTTTCAACATTCCACACTGCTTCTTGAAGATGTGTGATATTGGGTGAAGAATTTGGATTAGATTGTCTGTAATGTCCATTCCACCTCCAAATCCCATTGTGTTGTGATCCTTGAAGTCCCTTCAGGTTCTAACATTCTAAGCTTCTCAAGGGTTGGTGGATTTGGTTGTCTTCCTCCACCCCCTCCCCCCAACCCAAGCCCCTCGGATAAATGATGTAATTATAGAAAGTAAAGGGCAGATGACCAAGGTAGATAGGCATTTATATGGTGATGAAGTGTATAGATGTTTCTGTATACTGTCAACCCTCTATAAAACATGAAATGTTCTCTGACTGAATTTCAAGGGAAGTTGGCCATTGTTGGGAAAGATTGGCCATGTACTAGATGGCCTTATAACCCTAAGACAGTTCAAGAGTTTGAGATGTTCAAGACAGAAAGCAGCTTTGCAGAATATGACTCCTGTGCCCCTACCAGAGGGTGTAAAGGGGGAAGAGGATTTTTCTTCCTCCTTCATTCCCCAGCATGGCATCTTGCACCTACTTGTCCAGTAAGCGATATCACATCTTATATTAAACAGTTTGAGAGAGTTCAAGGCATAGTTGAGTTGAAGGGTGTCATGGAGTCAGCTAGAACCAGCTTAGCAGACTGTTAAATTTTCGGTACTTTAGAAACAGGCAGATGCTATAAACGGGCTTGGTATATTGTCCTCTTGATTGTCTAGACTTAAGAAAATGATGGAGAAAATATTAATAATGCAGGTTAAACCTAAAAATGTGTTGTGGGTAATGTTTTCTGGTGTTTTTTTCTTTTTTTCTTTTTTTTTTTGCAGGGAGAAGCAGTTGTTAAACACCTACCAGCACACCCCTGGACACATCTATCCAGGGAGCAGACATACAGATTCTCTATGTAGATACAGTCACAGAAAAAGAGCTTCAAAGAGTGTGACCTCTGGCAACTGAGAAGAGTTATGGATTCAAGAAAGAATTGGTTCTGGCAACTGGTCATACAGCTATAGAAAGGAGCAGACCCAAGGAGCTCAGCTGAGCAATTCATCCAAGCAGAGATGCCACCTCTAGTGGGGAGCAGCATGAGGGCTTCATGCAGAGGGAAAGGACATTGGGACCCTCTAGTATCAGAGGCGTGAATTGCCTTGACCACATACATTCTCAATAGTTGTGTCTCGCTCTCAGTGTGCAGGCTTTGTGTCTACTCTTCCCACAGATGCTGTGTGTATTTGGGGGAAAATACAACCCACCCTTTTGGGGGGAATTTTTTGTAGTTGGTATTATTACTATGCTGTTTTGTAAATGCCTTTGCTTTGAGCTAATTGTGTCTTTATTAAATGTAGGCTCACAGGTGGGGACCTTATGGAGTACCTCATCTTTGAACCTGTGCAAGCTGTCAGCTCTTTGGGGAGCCAACCTACAAACCTATGACTGTCAGTTTGGGAAGGTACCCCAAATGGGATGCCACATTTCCTTATAATTTCTCTCTGTTCTTGTGACGGTACAGTGCTGGGAGGACAGAAGTAGCCTTAAATTAGCTAATGCTAACACTTAATCTTCTATTTGGAGGAAAAGAAGAATTCTTGGTAAAAAATCTTATGAATAGCAGAGAAGCCTGAATAGTACATATGAAGTTACTTATAATGTACCTATAGGTGCTTTCTCCTATTCTATTTAGATGCCTTTCCATTTTCCCTTTTCATTCATATGTCTTTTACATGGCCAGTATCTAATTATTCAAATTAATAATTCCCTCATAAAGGGCCACAGAGGTCTAGTCTCATGTTCCTAATATCTTTGCAGCTATGATGATAGCTTTATTGAACTCTGGCTTATTTATTATGATTCATTCATGGTATGCAGCATTTTTTAACAAAGAAAATTGCTAAACATGATAGAAATTTGTACACCACCTCAATGTGGGCAAGGTCTACATACACATGAGTAGCAATTACAAATAAGGGAAATGAGAGTCTCTTCCCAGGCCAAGTTTGTACTATTTTATCCATTGTAGGACTGAGTAAATCAGAATTAGTGTGAAAGGTGGTGGAAGGAGTCAAGGGGGAGGAGACGGGGAGGCACAAATAACTCCCAATGAGAAAGAAACAAACTCTAATGTGTCAGGGGTTGATCTGTGGGGAAGTAGGAACTACATTTGCATAATTTGGCAAGATGACTAGGGGAAAGGGCAAGAAATGGAAAAAGTATACACAAGTGATTGGGAACTCAGGGGAAAACTAAAGAACTGCCCCAGAAGGACTAGGGTAAAGAGAAAGTCAACTTTGTACTGATTAGAAATGTTTTAGGACATGGCCTTCTCTAGGGATATAGTAGGTCACTGTTTTCTTATTTGGCTAAGTTTGGAAGGAGAAAGAAATGCATCATATAAATCTAGGATACAATGATGGAAAGGGAACAGGAAAAAATCTTTAACCTCAGAAGACTTTCCCAGGTGAGGACTTTATTCTTTAGTTTAATGGTTATCCTCTGAATTAGAATGACAAAGAATTAGGAAATGTCTCCAAAGAATACTAAGGATATTCTTAGAGTAGTATCCGAAGGACATAACCTAAGCAACTCTTGAATATGCAGAATATGGAGATCTTCTATCTGAGTACCCTTTGTCCCAAGGAAAGCTAAAAACTGTCTACTTGATTAGACCGTCATCATGAGTTACTACAATCAAAAATATTCTTTGCCTGGTGACCAAGGCCTGGGTGATGCCACTCCAGATTTAAAGAGTTGGGTCCTTACCAGACAGACATACTTTCTTTCTCCAGTCTGGTTCCATTTTGGAAATCATTTTAGCTTGGTAATACCTGCCAAAACTTGTATTTTGCTGACGTAGCTTTCTAGAATCCAAAGTCATGTCTTGATCTTATATTGTCTATGCCATCAGGGTAAGACTTCAGAGGAGAAACTCTTTAATGGGAACTTCAGGTCAGTTTTTAGGATCAATACTTAAAAATAATACATTCTGCAATGTACACACAAGCTCACAAGCTCCCTCCTGCCCCTAATTTCTACCTAGGGGACAAAATATGTTAGCTTTTATAATGCACAAAAATACAATAGAAGGTAAAAGGGATATCTTCAGAAATTTATTTCATGTTTAAAAAAATGACTTTCTTAATACTTTGATTCTGCAATGGATTTGCAATCTGATCCATGAGGGTGTTCCTCATAACAATGCAAATCACAATCCACACATGCCTATTAATCCTGTGTGACTCTTGTCACACTAGGCCTTCCTTGTGTTCTCTTGACACTGTGAAAGTATCAATGGAGAACACAATTTGCCCATCAGTTATTATTCACTCTTGCTATGAATCTACCATTATGATGCTGAAACATAACAAATGGTTAATCTACTCATGGGCCACCAAGAGTTGACTAATATTTCCATTGCAAAGTACTGTGATTGTTTTACTAGACTGGCAGAAACTTTTATTTATGTTCTTTACCATGCATGTGCATCAAAGCTCACTGTTAACACTCCTTTATGTAATTAATTCATACCCTTATTAAACCTTCCCCCTCATGTACAATGTGCTATGCTAGACTGAGTGGGAACTACAAAGCTTAATAATATCTTCCTCTGTTCTCAAGGAGCTGAGTCAATGCAAATTATTTTTGGTATATTACAACCTATACTCTGAGGCAGCATGGAATAATGGATGGATCTATTGGACTTTGAGTCTGAAAGAATATGGCTCAGATCGCACCTCAAACATTTACTGGCTGTGTGACTATGGGAAAGATGCAACTTCTCAGACTCAGTTTGCAATTTTTAAAATGGGAATAAATATTGTATCAGGTACCTAAAAATAGGTAACATTTATATTGGTAGTAGAAACTAGAGCTCTGTACTTGGGAGTCAGGAAAACCTGAGTGCTAATCCTGTCTTGAATATTTATTAGCTGTGTAAGACAGGGTAAGTCCCTCAACCCCTGTTTTGTTTTTTTTTTTCAGTTTCCTTATCTGAAATATGGGAATATTATTAGCACCTACCTTCCAGGATTCTTTGGAAGATGAAATGAGATTACACACACACACACACACACACACATATGTATTTTTTTACATATATGTAAGTAAAATACATGTGTGTGTTTGTGTATGTATATATCTATATTTAAAATTTTATGCTCAAAACAACCCTGGAAGGTAGGTGCTATTATCATCCATATATATGTGTTTATATGTGCGTATGTGTATAAACTATATATAGATACATGTGTATGTATCTATATATAGAAAGAGATCTATCTATATGTATATATATAGAAATACATATATAGCTATCTCTGTATATATGTATGTATATATATATATATATATATATATATACATATGTATATATACATCATACTTTGCAAACCTTAAAGCATTGTATTAACAATAGCTATTATCTCTATACAAATTTTCAAAGTGTTTTCCATGTATCATTTCATTTGATCCTTGCAACAACCCTGGGAGGTAGGTCCAGGGACATATAGCTAAGCAGTATCTAAAGTGAGATTTGAGCTCAGGTCTTGATTCAAGGTCCAACATGCTATCCAATGCACCACCTACCTCCCTCCTAGGGTTGTTATATCTCAAATAAGAAAACGTAAGCCAATGCTTTGCCAACTCTAAAGCACAGTAGAAGAGTATGCTTTTATTGTGTGTAACATTGTATTATCAGAAGGTGGTTTCTCCCTGTGCTTGTCAGTGTAAGCATTCTAATTTGGGTAAAACATTCCCATTTCTTCCTTGAGTGTTCTCTGGAGGCTCATAGTGATGTTCTGCCAGGATTTCCTCTGAGTTTATTTCTCAACCTCAGTAAGAATGCCTAATGTTATACAAAAAGTGCTCTTGGGTAGAGCATTCCCATGGCTGCAGATGGCCATGTCTGATTTGGCTCAGCAATATGTTTTACTAGCAGATAAGAACATTCCTGAAAATCAGTTATCACCCACAGTAAGATACTATCTTATTATTATACACTTATCAGAACAAAAGACTTACCATCTGGAATGGTTAGGATTTGCCTCTAAGGAAATATGAAACAAGACCCCCACCCTCCAGGAGCCACAAGACAAGAAATAAAATCATTCAATGATAAGGCAAGGTAACGTCTGATTAGGGACCAAGATGAATGATCCAGGTATTGAGTTACAAGAGTTTGGCAGGAGGGGAGATTTGTTGGAATAATATGAGGGCTTTGCTATATGAGCCCTCTGGAAGTAAGCGAAGCTTAACTTGAGCCCTGAATGATAAGATGGAAAGGCATAAAGAAGACGCAGGGCAGGAAATATTCCAGACAGTGGAGACTAGCCTGAGTGAGGGTCTTTTATTGAACCTATGATGATATGCTGGGCAGGAAGAAGATATTTGAGTAGAGTTGGGGGTTTGTGTTGAAAGTAGTAAAAGTAAGGTTGGATAGATTGGGTGGGACCAGATTACAAAGAGCTTTGGGAGTCAGGAAGATATAAGGACTTAGAACTTGGTGTCCTGTAGGTCCCCAAATGCCTGTTTTTGAGCCAAAGAGTGACATGAAAATTGGTGTTCTTAAATTGTGTCTGAAAGTGGCAGATGAGGTCATTTGGATGGAGGAGAATTTAGCTAGGAGGTTGTTCTTACATGCTATGATTCAGGTGCAAGATGGCAATGATTTGGACTAGCTGAGAGGTTCTGTTGGAATGGAGAAAAAGGAAGAAAGAAAAACATCAACA